GTTCACAAATCTTTATGACAATATATTTATTAGTTGGAGTGCCACAAGATTCTTGGCCTTGAAATCTGAAACACAGTTATTTTCCCATAACATTTTGTGACCAAGATGTGTATGCGTGCCACATGCTTGCCACCCCAAGGACCTACCATTGTGCTTGGATAAGCAAATTTTAATGTGATTTAAATGAAGTCAGAGACTCCAGTTGAGTCTTATGTATTGGATATCTACATCCTCCCACCCTTAGGATATGATAAAACTGAAATTGAAGTGATACTCTAGGTAGTATAACAAGATTTTCTAAAATGTCTTAACTCAAGCTTGCAAGAGTTCTGTGAGTGCTGAATGGAACTAGAGACAGAGGACAGCCAAAATGCAGCAAAAACAAAAGGCTGTTTACATGAGCTTTCTCTTAGCTATCATTGACTATCCTTGAGTATAACTATCCTCCATTGTACTACAAATAACCATGTGACCATCCACAGAGTATCCATGTGACCAGACATACATCATGTGAATGTCAGAATACAAGCTAAGCCTGAAGGCAGAAATTCTGTGGTGAAGAAAAGGCATATAGTAGCTAGATGCAGAAGAGAACAGTGGTACAGTGCATGCGTCTGTATGTGCTTTCAAGTCTTCTGTTGACCTATGGTGACCTCATGAATTTTCAGAGGCTTTTCTCAAGCTTGAACTACTCACAGATGTTTTCCCATTTCTTTCCTCTGAAACATAGCCTAGAACACCTGAAATTCATTGGCCAGTGTGGTGTAGTGGTTTGAGCATTGGACAATGATGCTGGAGATCAGAATTCAAATGCCATGAAACACCACTGGGTGATCTTGGGCTAGTCACACTCTCTAAATCTTAGAAGAAGGCAAATGCAACATCCCTCTGAATAAATGTTGCCTAGAAAACCCAATGATAGGTTCATCTCATCATAAGATTGAAATAACTTGAAGGCACACAACAACTCCCATCCAAATACTAATCAGGGCTGACCCTGCTTGGCTTCAATATCTGATGGGATTTAGTGTCTTTAGGTTATTTAGGCTATATGGAATAGTGCCAACCCTCCAACATTTTATAGATGAAAATTGGGACATGTAGTCCCAGAATATGTAGGGATATGTAGTCCCTACAACAGTACAGTGTGATCAAGTTGGAAAAGTTATGCAGGAAGAAGAATTCATAAGCTAGGAGAGGCTGCAGCTGTTTGCTTTTGACTGAGCCTACTGAGAAACACATGATTCAGGGATTCTCTTTTCCCTCTGCTTAGTTAACTGATTACAAATTACTTTTGCACTTTGAACTCAGTTTACAGCAACTGAAGTAAACTGAAGACAGTAGGAGAAAGAAACGAACATGTTTTAAAACAAATGAAAAATTACAATAGCAGAGGACTAATCAGGACTTTCCATGCCAAATTGGGAAGAATATGAAGAGGATTTCTTTTATAATTTTCCTTGACTGCACCCACCAGCTTAACACCACTTTAACTGCCATGGCTCAGTGCTATGGAATTCTGGGATTTTTTTAGTCTTTTGAGATATTTAGCCTTTTCTGTCAGAGATCTCTGGTGCCACAATAAACTACAAATCCCAAGATTACATAACATTGAGCCATAATAGTTAAAGTGGTGTCAACCTGGATTATTGCTGCTTTGTGGATGCAGACCCTGTCTTGCA